AAATATAAATTAAAAAATTTAAATTTATAAAATATAAATAATATAAAAGATCTGCAGCAATTATAACCTCGCCAAACATGCTCTTAATCCGAAAAATCAGCGGCTCCGACGGTTTCCATTTTCCCAAAGAAAAACTCACCACACACACACCCATCCATTCACGTGACATTCCATCGCACTACTCTCTCCATCTAAAATTCTAAATTACTCCTCGTCACTCCTCTCTCTCTCTCTCTCTCCCAGCTAAATCTCACCAAAACCCTCTTTGCTCTCTACTCTGCTCCGCTTCAGATCTCATTTTTTCTTCGTTATCATCGTCATGGGTAATCCCCTTTTCGCCGAAACAATTTATGGGTCGATTTTGTTTTACTATTCTGTTTTCGTTTTTTGATCTGGGTTTCTCGATTTTTCTTTGGTTTCTGCAGCTTGTGAGAAGAAGATCAAGATCGGAATCAATGGTAATGATCTGATTCTTGGGTAGATTTGAATGTTTGATTTTTGGGTATGTGGGGTTCTAAATCGAGGGATTTGACTTCTTGTTGCAGGATTTGGAAGGATCGGCCGTTTGGTCGCTAGGGTTGCTCTGCAGAGGAATGATGTGGAGCTTGTTGCTGTTAACGATCCCTTCATCTCTACTGATTACATGGTGAGTAGGTTCGTTTGGTTTTCGATTTTGATTCTGGGTTTTAAGTGGTTTTGTGTAGAGATTTTGAGATTTTGTTTTCTTGGTGCTTACTGCGATGGTGATGGTGGTGGTGTTTGGATAATGCAGACTTATATGTTCAAGTACGACAGTGTTCACGGTCAGTGGAAGCACCATGAATTGAAGGTCAAGGATGAAAAGACCCTTCTCTTCGGTGAAAAGCCCGTCAGAGTATTTGGAATCAGGTAAATGTTTCAATCCCAATTTCATTCTGAGATTTACTGTTTCAACGGAGTTTTCTGTTTCTGGGGTTTTTTTTTTTTTTTATAAAGCTTTTAATGTTGATTTTTAGAAACCCTGAGGAGATTCCATGGGCTGTGACTGGAGCTGAGTTTGTTGTTGAGTCTACTGGCGTGTTCACCGACAAGGACAAGGCTGCTGCTCACTTGAAGGTTTGTTTTCCTACCCTTTTTTCTTTTTGTCCGAGTGTTTTTTTTATTTCCATCTTATTTTATTTTGGTTATATGTTTGGTTTTCCCTGCGAACTTTAGATCTTAGATTTTGATTAGCATATTCATATGTTTCTTGTGAAATTGAATTGCATCTATGTTCTAGCATAAATTAAACTAGAGGCTCCTTAGAAGTGCCTTACGGTATAAAAAATGTAAATGGGTTTCTTTGCCTATTCTGAACATTCCCTAAGCTACCTTGCAGATGAAAATCTGATTCTTGCATTAGGGTTGACAAGGTTTTTCTTTTGTCGTCAGGGTGGTGCTAAGAAGGTTGTCATCTCTGCTCCCAGCAAGGATGCACCCATGTTTGTTGTTGGTGTGAATGAGAAGGAATACAAGCCCGAGCTTGATATTGTTTCCAATGCCAGCTGCACCACCAATTGTCTTGCTCCCCTTGCCAAGGTTTGTCTTGCTGCCTTTTTGTGTGACTCTTGCAGTTCAGAATTATTATAAGAGTGACTTTCAAATCTTATGTTTTTGGGTGAAATTTTACAGGTCATCCATGATAGGTTTGGAATTGTTGAGGGTCTTATGACCACAGTCCACTCAATCACTGGTGAGTTATTTGTGTTTATGGTTATTCAATTTGTTTACAATGGATTAAATGATTTGGTTGTTTATTAGTAGTTACTCATTTCATTTTGATCTTTTCAGCCACACAGAAGACTGTTGATGGACCATCAATGAAGGACTGGCGAGGTGGCAGAGCTGCTTCCTTCAACATCATTCCTAGCAGCACTGGTGCTGCCAAGGTATGTTCAGTGGAGTAGTTATTTCATTTTACTGGATCCTGGGGTCATAAGGTATTCAGTGACTCGGGTGAAGAATGTTGTAGCAATCCCTGTGATTTTGCTCTTGTTGATTATTTTTGCATGTAGAACCTTAATTAATTCTCATCTAATCTTTATTCTTTACGATGGTCCAGGCTGTTGGAAAAGTTCTTCCTGCACTTAATGGTAAGTTGACTGGAATGGCCTTCCGTGTTCCAACTGTGGATGTATCAGTTGTTGACCTCACGGTTAGGCTTGAGAAGGGGGCAACTTATGAGGACATCAAAACTGCAATCAAGTAAGTGCACATATGTAGTAACCACTGACAATTTTTGTTATGATACTTTGCTTCTTCTGCCTTGACACCTCATTGTCATGGGATTTGAGTTCTAAATAATTCGCTTATGGATACTCAGGGAGGAGTCTGAAGGCAAGCTCAAGGGAATTTTGGGCTACACTGAAGATGATGTTGTGTCCACAGACTTTGTTGGTGACAGCAGGTAAATCACAAAGACAAAATTCTAGTTTCATTGTAGCTACTTTTACTTGATAACAGTGAATCATTCAGACTATAATCTAAGAAAGGACCAACTATAAGTTAGTCTACTCTTGTTAGTTTTGTGGAAATGATGTTGATATGAAAGCTTTCCGCTGAATGCACAGATCTAGCATTTTTGATGCCAAGGCTGGTATTGCATTGAACAAGAACTTTGTCAAACTTGTCTCCTGGTATGACAACGAATGGGGATACAGGTAATGTCAGCCAGAACTTTACAATTAACTTTAATCCATTGATAACTTATGCCTATTTTAAGTTTTCCTTTGAGATGCTTTTAATTGAAACTTATGCCCATGTTTTCACAGTTCACGGGTGATTGACTTGATTGTCCATATGGCCTCTGTCCAAGCTTGAAGCTAAATCCATTCAAGGCGTTTGCAAAAGTTCATGTGTGAGTGTTTGCAGTTTGAAATAAACTTGAGGATCTACCTTCATTTCTGTTTTTGTTTTTCTTGTTTGCTTAATGTGAACAGCTTTTCTGCCCTTTTGGTATCAAAGTTGTGGAACAAATTTTAACAGTTCAATAGAACGGAAACGATGATACATTGATGAGATGTTTTGTTCTTATTAGTCATGTCTTTCCGCACTATTGTTAATCTGATGGTATTTATTATGTTATCCTTGAATTGAGAAAACAAAGTAATTTTAGGGTTAGGATCTTATTCCTACAGGCTGTATATGATCTCAGAAGCTCATGTTAGCTTGATTCAGTACAGTTAGCAGTTCAAGTTCATTTTTCTGAAAGCTCGCGTTCTACTTTAGTTCTCTAGGGCTTTCAAGCCGAGTATGAGCTCTGAGCTTTGCACAAGCTTGTTGCTGCAGGTATTTTAGGAGCCTGTTGGTAGGTTCTTTTCCGTCTCCTGTTGCTTTGTTCATTTCTGTTTGTATATTTTTGTTTCAGAAAAGTAAAGTGCATTCTATCTATATGGACTGCACTACACTTAACTAAATATCAGGAGGCGGCCTGGCTCTTTACCTATGGTTAAGTTAGGATATTTATTAGTAGCACTAACATATATTCTGTTGACAATGCAAAACATAAATTCTGCATTTCAGACTCTGAATCTGAGGCTTAATTGCCATAGATACATCTTTTAGAATTTCATAAAATCGATGGCTGATTTGAGCTTTTTTTCCCTATATTTTTCAAAAAAAAAAAGAAGAAGAAAGATTGTAGGTTTTTTCTAATAAAAAAAAAGAAAAAAAAGAACTGAACTCCCAACCCAAGGCACAGGAACAAAGCAAGGTTAACCCTCTTTTAACAGCTTCATTGTAGGTCATTTGCATCAAGAAGAAACTGGAAATGAAGAACATAAAACTGCAATTTCTTTAATTTATTTGTTCTAATTCTTTCATGCAGAAAACAAGAAATTTGTGTGTAAAGCTCGCTGTCAATTGCATTTCAAATGGTGGGTTTTCACGAAAAATGATGATGCGCCTGTTTATTGTTGGATGAAATGCTTCAGTGAGCTCCGAGCATACACTATTGATTGCTGGTTTTTTTCTGCCTTCACTATTTCAATCCCTTTTGTGTGGTTTATGTCAGCATTCCTTTCAGTGGCACTGATTGCTAAGATACTCGCTATCAATTGCATTTCAAATTGTGGGTTTTTACGAAAAATGATGATGCGCCTGTCTATTGTTGTGGATGAAATGCTTCAGTGAGCTTCGAGCATACACTCTCTTGATTGCTGGGTTTTTTCTGCCTTCACTATTCCAAACCCTTTTGTGTGGTTTATGTCAGCATTCCTTTCAGTGGCACTGATTGCTAAGATGCGTTCTTGATATAATGTCAGAACTTTTGGAGCTTCGAAATCTAAATTGAAAGGAGGGCTGGTTTTCTTGGCTTCCTTCTTGTTTATGATGTGGTTATCCAATTAAATAGTAACTCATTATGTCCATCATTAATGTCCGTTTGCTCCTTCACGCTCTCAACCTTCCTAGAAAAGAATCAAAAGATATACCCATGAACTAAATTTTCTGTCCCTAGAAAATTATTTTCTCGCCTCTGCTGCAAGTAAATGTTTGTGTAGTAAACTAGGGAAAAGGGAAACAAAAGGTTTTCCATATCAAACAGTTCCAATCCTATTTTCTCTTGTGGATTCAGTTGAAACGATCCAGTTGCGTGTGCCCTTCTTCAATGGTCTGCAATGTTCACCACTTCCTTAAAAATACTCAGTTCCTTGTCAAGGCCTCAATTTCTTCTGCCCTCTTCCATGCTTCCTCTTGAAATGTCAACTTTTCAGGATATTAACATAGGGCCGGTGAATATGATACAAAGGTTGCCATACTAGGAAAAATGGAATAGACAGATAAAATGCGGCCATGTCTAATACAATTTATGCTAACATATCACATGTTATTCTTATTGAAACCGTGACTCTTGGAATTGCAGGTGTTGTAATTAGCTTCCAAAAGAACAGTGTTAGTGGCAATCATCAAGCAGGTACATTGGGGGATGACCCCAGAACATCCAAGATCTTCCTCTTCCTATCTGATGCTCGGGATTGGAACCCAATTTACAACCTGCCATGAACTGGTTTTCAATCCTAAAGAATGGCATTTTAAATGAGGCTACCTTCTTGTTATTTATGGCTTGATATTCCTCTTTCCATCTGCTGAGCGATTGCAATACTTTATGCAACTTGTTTACTCAAGAGACTGAGAGTGCTTTTGGGTTTTGGCAATGGTGGCTGGTGGTCGGTATCTGATATCTCTATCTCAGACCACATGTTTCCTTCTCAAACACCCCCAGGTATGCCTTCCTTCACCAAAGTAAGCCTTGCATTTACAGCTTTCCCATCATCTTCGTCCCTACGTTAGTACAATAGTCTAGCTGGCTTGCTGTGGTCCTCTTGTTAATATAATAAATAGAGATGGGACCTAAGCTTTGGAATATGGAGTCTGCAATTCTACAATGCAAATTGTAAGATCTCGTGTTTTGCACTAGCAATTCCATTGTTGCCTTTGACCCTTTGGTGAAAGTTTTAGGAATGGTTGCATCACGTGGTCTTGTCTCTTTATTAGCAAATAAAGTAGCAATACTGAAATTCATAATCTCGCGATCCAATGATTCTAGTAACAAGTTTTAAAAGCATAAAGAAAAAGGAAAAACTGAGCCCTAGTCTCAGCAAGCCTTTCTCAAGGAACTGCTTCACATACCACATTCTAAAATATTTTGCTCTTTGGTAGATGTATAAATAAAAGATTTACTTGAATTTGATATCCTTTCAGGATTTCGTCCTTTACTTTGATTGTGAGTTCTATAACGAGGATCGCCTCTTTCTTGAACCCCTCCTTGGCAGTGTACCAGTTGAAATGTATATGTTGCCTTCAGAAAGAATGTCTTACATTCAATAACATGCCAATAGATAGCTAAAATAGAAGTCCAATTTTGTTTCGAATTAGGCTGAGGTTGATGATTCAATCATGAAAGCCGGCAGAATTGATCGAAGCAGCTAACATGATCATAGGAATTTTCGTTACTTACAATGATCAATACAAAAACCAAATGGAAAACTGACTTTTCGGGATTACCTCCCTATCTATTGGCAATGACAACCAAACAAATAGAACCAAAAAAAAGGCATTATGTTAGTAAGTGATTAGATATATTGTCAATGTCAAATATAGATTATTCTAATACGAGATTAAGGCATAAGATTTACATTATTCTAATCCAGATTAAGGAATTCCTTAGAGTTACATATTCATATTTTGTGTGTTTGCATACCCTGTTCATACCAAAGTTGTTGGTTCTAAACTAGAGTGATTAAAGTGCAATGGTGGAGGGCAAATACACATAATAAAGGAAAAAGGGAACCATTACAAAAGCTACCCAAAGAAATTTAGGACCCAACTGTCACCTGTTCCAAACTAAAATTTTCTCCTTAGCTTGGAGTTCATGACTTTCATGATTGCTCCTACTCTCCATCTGCTTCTCACCATGCCTTCACGGACAAAGACAAAAGGGAATCTTCAAACATTTTCCACGCACTTTCCTATCTGTTTTTTTCTCCACCATAAAAAACCCCTTTCAATATCTACAATTCAATTGTCATTTCCCTTTTGTTTTCATCTGCATTTAGATTGGAGTTTGAAATATCTGCCTTCCTTCTCCTATTCAACTTTCCCTTTAAAACACCTTCTTCTTCTTCTTCTTCTTCTTTTATCAACTAATGGTTATGGTTAATTCCTTCTAATTCTCCTTTAATGGGTTCATTTTTGTTTCTCTAAGGAATTATGGGTTGTGTTAAAGCTTTCTGCTTTATTTAGTTTAGAGTTTGTAACATATGTCTTCCTTCTCCTACTCAACTTTCCCTTGAAACCACATCTTCCTTCTTTTAGCAACAATGGTTATGGTTAATTCCTTCTAATTCCGCTTTGATGGGTTCATTTTGGTTTCTCTGAAGAATTCTGGATTGTGTTAAAGCTCTCAGCTTTATACATTTGATCCTCTGTTTGACATACATTTCTGTTTTCCAAGATTACTGCAATGCCGCCTTTATACTTCCCACTACGGTGGGAGAGCACCGGAGACCAGTGGTGGTATGCCTCACCTATTGACTGGGCAGCGGCGAATGGACTTTACGATCTGGTCATCGAGCTTCTCCATTTGGACACTAACCTCTTAATCAAACTCACTTCCCTTAGCAGAATCCGCCGCCTGGAAACCGTTTGGGATGACGTGGCTCAGTTTGACGATGTTGCCAAATGCCGCTCATATGTAGCCAGAAGGCTACTCCACGAATGTGAGATGAAGAAAGGGAATAATTCCCTGATCAGGGCGCGTTATGGTGGCTGGCTCTTGTATACTGCTGCCTCTGCCGGTGATGTGGAGTTTGTTAAAGAACTGCTTGAGAGAGACCCTCTTCTTGTGTTTGGAGAAGGAGAGTATGGTGTCACTGATATATTCTATGCGGCAGCTAGGAGCAAGAATTCTGAGGTTTTCAGGATGTTGCTTGATTTTTCTGTCTTGACACGGTGCTGCCTTGGTGGAGCAGAGGAGGAGGAATTGAGTGAAAGTCAGTCACTGTTTAAGGTTGAGATAATGAATAGGGCTGTTCATGCAGCTGCTAGAGGTTGGAATTTGGAGATTTTGAAGCAGCTTCTTGGAGATTGCAGGGATGTTCTGGTATACAGAGATGAGCAGGGCTCTACAATCCTGCATTCAGCCTCTGGAAGAGGGCAGGTTGAGGTAAGGGCCTTTTCTTTCTAACTGTACTCATAAACAACTTTAAGGAAACCCAGCTTAGGTTAATTAAACTGGCAGTTATCACTGTAGAATTTTCATGCCCAAGAACATTTTCTGTTCTTTTGACCCTCTCATTTTGTCTGTACATTGACACAGGTAGTGAAGTATCTCTTATCATCTTTTGACATCATCACATCTACAGACAATCAAGGGAACACAGCATTACATGTGGCAGCATATAGGGGCTACTTAGCTGTTCTTGAGGTTCTGGTTCAGACATCTCCCTCCTTGGCTTCCATGACAAACAACAATGGGGATACTTTCCTTCATATGGCTGTAGCTGGTTTTCGAACGCGAGGCTTCCGACGAGTGGATAAGCAGATTGAGCTCATGAAACAGTTAGTATCCGGTGAGGTCGTGAATATCCAAGTGATTATCAATGCAAGAAACAGAGATGGAAGAACAGCTCTTCATGTGGCTGTAATTGAGAACATTCAAGCTAACCTGGTGGAACTTCTCATGTCTGTACCTTCAGTTGATCCAAATGTCGGTGATGCTAATGGCATGACCCCATTAGATTTCCTCAAGCAACGACCAAGATCAGCTTCCTCAGATATTTTGATCAAGGAATTGATAGCTGCTGGGGGCATCTCCAACCGCGGGGATAACATGGCTAGAAGTGCCATTGTTTCCCATCTGAAAGGGCAGGGAATATGTGCAAGTCCAGGAACTTCATTCAGAATTCCTGATGCAGAGATATTTTTGTACACAGGCATGGAGGATACATACAATGGCAGTTATGATCAAGACAATGCAGATTACAGCAGGTGCTTGAGTGAAGTAAGTGACTTTGATTCAAGCAATTCCATTGACAAAAAGAAGTCGAATTCTGTGAATTATGCTGCTAGACGCCTGAAGTTTCTTCTCCATTGGCCTGGAAAGAAAGAAAGAAAATCAGCAAGCACAGAACCAGAACTGGTGGACGACAATTATCAGGAAGTGAGCAGCAGAGCTAGAAATTGGACAGACAGACACATACCATTGCGCCAGAAGTACTTAAAGTCTTCATGCCTTCCGAACAACCAAAGAACATTTATTGTCAGGACGGATCTCCCCAGTCCTTCTGCCAGAAGGAAATTTGCTGCAGGCCTAATGCATGGAGTGGTTCGAGTGGGGCGGAGTGATAGGGGGGACTCGCGTCTCAACTTTTGAAAAGTTTGAACTTCAGTAAAATAAAAATGTTTTTTTTTTTCCAAAATTTTTAAATACTACATATGTGAAAATTAAAGTTATTTTTGTTTAAAGAATATTGTATATCAATCCCAATTCTAAATATATATATATATATATCAAAGTCTTAACATTAAATTATTTTATTTTATTTAATTAATTCTCTTTTTTCTTGGCGACAAAGCTACAAACTCACTCTTTTTAAATGAAAACTCAATCCCTACTTTCACATGCAAATTGTTTCACTTTAATTGACGCTAATGCTTTCCTGTCTTATGGTATTTTTTATGGTATTTTTTAAATAATATAATGTAATTTAAGATTAAAATCCTAATAATTTTAGGAGTCATGGATTGATATATTCTTCTCCTTCATTTTTTGTCTAACTCTTTATAACTTTTAGATTATTTTTACATTTTACCCCCCAAGATTATTGCAATTTACTAGATTTTCATTACAAAAATCATTTCAAATATGAAGAAAATATTAGAATTTAGTTAATCAATTAGCAAAAAATCTTCTCAGCCAATTATGCCGCAACGATTTTTACTTGCATTAGGATTGAACTTTCTAATTTTTGTCATTTAGTTCTAATAGTTGTTTTTTTAAATGAACTTTGGTTTTATTTTTATACTTAAGGATTCTGGAATTTGTTATTATGTTTCTTCAAGCATGATGCAAGCCAGTTGGCATTTGCTTATTTTTTATAAGAAGGTTTGAGTGTTTATTTAGTCAATGATTTTTTAGTTGTTAAGTATTTAAATTTCATGTTTCTTTTTTTTTTTTAGTTAGCGATTATGATGTTTACATATCAGTTTATGTGCACTTCGAGATTAATTCTTCTCTATTTTCTAGTTTGATCAAAGATAAGTAATTCATATCAAAATTAAAGAATTCATGAAGAATTATCTCTATTTATTTTCTCAAAAAATTAAATCTTGATCAATAAGATGAAGAGGAAAATCCCTTACCAACTAAGTTATAACTGTTTGGGTAATTCCATATTTCTTCTTTCAATTGTTTACTCTTTTTATGTCAAAATATTGTCAGTTTTGGACTAAATTTAATAGAAAATTCAATAAAAAATTAATGACATATATTTTAAGATGAAGAAAGTGTGCTTTTGAATTTATTAATTTGTATTAGTTTACCTATTGTTTAAGCATTATCAAAATGAGATAATATTTCTTATTTTAATAAAATGGTTCATTTATTAAAAAATATTAAAAATATGCTATTGTGTTAATTTATTTTCGTGTTTTAAAGTGAAAAAATAAGGAGGGACAAAAAGTATGAAGAAAGTTTCTTCCTAGAATAATTCTATGTGCTTGGAGCTTTTATAGTCTGTGTGTTAAAAAATAATTAAGAGATACTCTTGATACAAATCAATCATTATAATATAGTTATTTAATATAATAAATCAAATATTTATAATAGAATGAATATGTCAAAACAAAACATACTCAATTATTGATTTTATTAAGATTCTTAAAAAACATATCAATCAAATCAAATTTAAAATTTTTCTTAAAGAAAATAAATTAGTGACAAAATATAATTGAAAACCCTTTTTACCAAAATTGGTGACATTTTCTTTGGAAAATTTCACCATCCTCACTGGAATTTTTTGGCTCTGCCACTGGGTTCAATCGAGACCTTATCAATCACTTCCAAGTCCCTCCTCAACGACTATGGTAGTAAACTAGTAGGATAGAACCGGAATCTCATTTTGGGGGCAAAAATTTCTTTTTCAAAAGCAAATAAGATGGCCTAAATCTTTATACTTTTTACATTTTCCCCCAAAAATCTGTGTCCAACCCCATAGTTTTGCCCTGAGCAAAACCGTACCTTAAGTCCCTAAACTTATCTTAAATTTTTTATTGAAACAAATAAACCCTTGAAGTTGGCTATAAAAACAATTTAACCTCTCCTTTACAACAAACTCAATATTTGTTTATGTATCGCTTGTGTGGATAAAGTATTGACATATTATTTTCTAAGTAGTGAGTATTAATCTTATCCATGTATATAAAGTACAAATCAATATTAAAATCATCTAAAGGCTTAATTAAGAATCTAAAATAAATTTAAAAGTTTAACATTTCTTCTCTTTGAGTTATCCTCACTTGTTTCAGTGTACAAGAAAAAGGCTCTTCAGGATCAATAATCTAATGACAAAACAAATGAAATTACTCGTAGTTGGAGGCATGGTTCCTTCAACAAGAACTTGATGAACCAATATTTCTGTTTTGGTGCACAAGGACTGGCCGCTGAAGTTCTTGCACGATACATACTTCCATATCGTAGTTTCTAGTGTGGGAGCTCTTTAGCCTCCTAGTTCTTCTTTAAAGTAGTATGTAATTTTTGGGTATAAGATACATGGATGTTTACATTAAAAAAATATAAATACATGCTATTAGGGTAATAGCCCAGTAACAGCCCAACACCTTGGCACCTTGGATAGTGGCCTAGTAGTGCTCTTATGCGAGCCCAAGGTTGATTGTTAGACCATAGAGGCCCATTACCTTGGTACAATGAGTGAGCCAGAGAGGAGTGGACACATGTTAAAGGAGTCATACATGAGGGCTATAAATACCCCACATTTATTACTTTAAAAGGTAATAACTCCCATTTAAGTCTCTTTTTGTATTTTCTAGTTGAGAGTTTTCCCTTCTAGAATATACAAAATATTATTAATTTAGGCATCAAAGTGTTTATGCTGAGAATATCTCCCCGAGTTTTGTAGGTACTCAGGTTGATCCAACTCCAGATCCAATTCATGACTTGAGCCAAATAATTTCTACATCAACACTTGCATGTTTGTGTACAAAATATGTCCATAGACAATAATAGTTTTTTGATTAAAGTTCAAATCATTTATTTATCAAAACATCTATTCTGCAACTTTTTTTAATATTTATGGTCTAGGTGTTCTTACATCAACTTTTACATATCTTGAGATTAATTCCTCATTAAATTATTTTAAAAATACACCCCTATATCAACTAGATGCATTCAAAAAGAAAAAAAAAATTCCCTAGATATTGGCCTTAGGACTTCAGCTTTGTTGTAGTTTCTTTTTCTTCCCCATTGTGATACATCAAAATGATCATATGAGTTTTTTGAAGGTTATAATCCTTGATTCAAGTCATGATATAGAATATAGGAAACGGAATGAAAGTGATTACCTTTTTGTTGGTAACTCAATTTTATATTATTCTATTTATCTAACAATTTTGAATTAGGCATATATCTATGTTTCACCTCAACTTTTCGAGTTTAAAGTTCTTTACCCTTTAATTTATAAGTCAGGCTTATTTAACCTTTAACTTACTCAATTTGAGGGTTTTTGCCCTTTGACCAAACTTCTCAGCATCCTGACTGTTACCTTCAATCTTCATCTTTTGCTGAATTTTCATTTTAGTCCCCAAACTTAAGTTTGTTTTAGAACTAATTTTTATTTTATCTTGCTAAGATGTTTAATTCCTCCAGAGTTATTGCTCTTCTTACTACAAAAATATGTCTATCTCATAATAATTCATCAACTCTATAAGGGATA